AAAAAACCAATTTCATTTCGACAAAAAATCAATTAAATAGAAAATTTTCCCTACTCCATCCAAGACGAAAGGGTGTTAGTCATCATTATAGTTTTTTAGTAACAGTAGTCAACCGTTGGAATCTACATCTTGGATGCTAAAAATGTTAAATTGACAAAATATAGTGAATGTATCTTTATCAATATAGCCCTTGTTGGTTCCAATGTTTAAAAATTCATGTTAACATTTTATGGGTCCTATAACCTTTTATCAAAATTTTAAGGCTTATTGGCACTAGAGATGGTGTTCGCGAAATTATTTGTTTCGATTTTAAATCCACCGCAAGTGTACGGTTCGTTAATAAGTAGCAAAATGAACTATAAGTCCAAGTATCGATCCCACGAGGATTGAATTAGTTCGAATTAATCTACTATGACCTTCACTGAAACATGACAAGCAAATTGCCTTTTTTTTGTACTTTCACTAACAAAATGTAATCGTTGATGCAATTATGGACTAAGGATTTTACTAAGTTCAAAGTAACTTGGATGCAATTTAACTAAAATTCTATAGAATTAATGGATGTTCTAACTCACTAGGATCACGAATCCCCAAGCAATACCCGTTCACTAGTCCTTTATGCAAATTTAACACACAATTCCACAAAAGATGAATCGATATTCCTATTTTAATTTAGCAATCTCTCTCGAGCAATGCCAAACCTATCCCAATATATGATTCGACTATATTTCTATGACGAATACTAATATACCGACATGCATTATAATTCACAATTATCAATTGATTCACACAAGGCATAGATGTATATTTCTATCCTCTATCGGACCCTATGACGATTTATACTATGTCTAACATATTTTCCTTCTTTCGAATGCATAAAACAGGTCACCACATTCATATAATCATGTGCACAATAATTATATGAAAATAAAAACGAAATAAATCAATCAATTCCGAAATTGGTGTTTACATACGTCAAAAATCCAATACAACAATTAAACGAGGTATTACAAGGTTCATCGATCTCCTAGTAGTAATAAATTTAGCTTAACGTGTTAAAAAGAACAAAACTTAAAAGTATTTGAAGAAACGACATCACCCGAATCAATATTCACCCCGATCTTCAATTGGCGCGGTGTTTATCTCTTGTTTTCTCCATTGTTTCTTCTTCAAAATCTCCCAAGAACATGGAAAAACGGTGTCCCTTTCGTTCTGATCGATTTTTTGTATTTATAGGACCCTAAAATTTTGTTTCCATAAAAGTTTCGGAAAAAAAAGGAAACCAAAATTTTTTCAGATTTTTGTTCTATAAGACCGCATAGAGAAGGAATTTTTCAAGCCTAATTGCCTTTGGTATGGTACTATTCGACCGCATAGAGGATAATACTATGCGGTCGCATAGTACTATCAACTATGGTAGAAATTGCGTTTTGGTCCTCCCACTTGCATCCTTCACTTCTTAGCACCTTCTCTTCATTCTTTTCATTTCATCACCCCACGATATCGTCAATTGGCAATTAGTTTAATCAATTTCTCAATTTGTTCATCGGATCAACTTTTGGATAATTGCACCTTGATCCCTGAACTTTCACTTTGCGTCATTTTAGTCATTTTTTGCGTTTTTCTCCTGAATTTCACCATGTTTATCGTTGTTCCCTACAATTCACAAATGTAATGAGATTAAGTCACAATTCAGTCATTTTGCTCGTTATTCAGTCATGTTTGTGACCTAAATAAGTGTGCAAAAACACACTTATCAAACCCCCTAAACTTGAAATATTGTTTGTCCTCAAGATAGTGACTTAATTTTGAACAAACATGGCTTAATAACTGTTTATGTCAAAATTAACAAGGATGATTTTGAGCCAACTTTAAGAAAAAAGGCGATTTGTGTTTAGAAAAGATCACAAAGATGTAATTGTGCCATAAGTCGTTATCTCAATTCGTTTTCTTCTCTCTCCTTTTACAAGGGTCCTATTCCACTATTTATACATATTTCAGCCGAAATTACATCAAATCAATCAAATCAGCAACAGTGCTGAGCTCGCAACTCAGGTCGCCGAATTCTCCAATGATTGGTCAACGAGGCCGGTGGTCATGTGCCAATGTATTACCAAAGTAATGATGACCTGTCGGGGGTTGGAATTCGAGGACTTGGAATTGGCTATTCCGGGCGGCGATGACATCACCTGTGGCAAGTGTCTCTGATTGATAAGGTGATGTAACAAGGGGTAATCATGGTGTTTTCTGAGATAACGACGGGTAACTCCGACCTGAGAGTATGAACCGAACTCACTTTTAACTGAGGTGGGGTTAGCGAACTGTTTTCACCATATCGGAGTTCGGATATCAACAGTTATCCCCAGGTCAGCCCTAGCGTGGGGGGGCTGACCTCAATGATGCTTTCTCCAAGTAGTGCATTTATGGCTGTGACAAGTGTCATTTTTAGAGGTAGATGAGCTGTAAGCCACTTATAAATAGCTTATTCAGCAAGCATTGGCCAAAACTACGTCGTTTTGTCTCCCAGAGTTTTGGACCGTTGATATTTTCCCTCTATTTCCGGATGAATGGCTCAGATCGCGCCCTCTCATCTTCCTTTCTTTAAACTAGGTTTTGTTCAACCATTTCTCTTCCTATTTCGCTGATTTTTACTCTCTCAGATATTTGGCCGATTTTCCTAAGTTCGTATTCCCGTATTTGAGTAAGGTCGTTTTCTTAGTTCGTCTCCCAGGTATCTTCTGTTCTTATCTGCTGCCTCTTTTCAGTTTGTGATTCTTTTCTAAGTTTATACATGACTTCGGACGAGTCTAGAGTTCATTCCTGGGGCAACCAGCAGGAAGAGTCAGTTTCCTCGAGTTCGTCCTCTAGTTGTAGGGAAGTATTTACCCCCATTCCTATTTCTATAGTTAACCCAACTGACCTAGGGCATCCTGTGATGGACTTAGGACGTGAGGGTTCCAAGGGAGCAGGGGGATCCGGTAAGGATGTTGATGATGGTATTTCCGGGGAGTGGGGGGCGAGTTCTTATAGGTCGGTTGTGACATGGGATATGTTGGCCAGTTGGCGAGCTAAATACTCCATCCCTAGTTCGGTAGTTATGATAATACCAGAGCTTTGGATCGAGCTAACACTCCTCCTGAGGGATGTGTTGCTCTGAACTTGGCTATCCTCCAGGTTGGCCTTAGGCTTCCTTTTCCTAGGATAATCCGTAAATTTCTTTCTTCTTGGGGCATAGCTCCCACGCAGCTATGCCCTAACGGGTGGTGAACCTTAATAGCCACCCTTATTCTGTGAGACCAATGGGGAATCCCGAGCTGAGTGTCCAGCAATTCGATTCTTTTTTACTTTTAAGGAGGATGGGAAGAACTCGGGCTGGTGGTACACAAGCGTTTGGCCTAGGACGGGAGGTTCTTTGGTGTTAGACACCCCTTACTCAATTAAGAAATGGAAGGAAGAATGGTTTTACGTATCGAGAGAGTGGCAGTATCATTCTGTCGAGGTGAATAGGGAGGACATGGATCCCAAGCTCTATCATTCGTTATGTAAGTGTCTTTTTAGGTTTTAATTTTTTGCTTTGCGGGAGAAGGAATACGAGGAGAAGCTAAACCAGATGGGAATTGAGCTGAACGACAGGCTTGATGTCTAGGAGCGACTGATGGAGGAGATTAAGGTGTTGAGGGCCTCGGAGGAAGAGGCCAGAGCTCGGGTAGAAGAGGAAGGTGACAAAGTTAGAGAGGCCATCCAGAAGGTTTAGGAGGCTAATGAAAGGGCGAGGTAGGCCACAAAAAGGGCTAAAAAGGCTGAGGCCAAGATCGACAGGGCGGTGGAGGCCTGGAAGGAGTCCTCCGAGTTTGATGTGGTGGCCCAGGATGTGTACGTTGTGGCCCTGGAGGAGTTGATAGGGCACATCAGGAAGGAGAGGCCCGATCTTGATGTGACCTTTCTAGATGAGGCACTGGAGGGGCAGAAGGAGGAGTTGCAGAAATTGTCGGAGTCTGTCGGAGTCCGAGTGTTACCGAAAACTCAGGATGTTGGAGATACCACCCCTACCCCCCAAGACCCTTGGTGTTTTGTGATGTTTTAATTTGAAATGGATAATTTGACTGATTTATGATGTGTTAATTTGAAATAGATGATTTTTTTATGTTTTAATTTGAAAAGTGTTACAATAGTTGTGCAGTACGCGCTTTTTGAATTAGGCATATACGTTGGGCATTTGTACCAAGTGTCGTAGCACGTACGAGTTTAGATCGGCCTGCATATGAGACATGGCTTAATGAGGTTCCTTAGGAGGAATCTTCTACTAAATGTCGTAGCACACATGACCTTTGATCGGCCTGCATATGAGGCGGGGCTTAATGAGGTTCCTTAGGAGGAATCTTCCACTAAGTGTCGTAGCATACACGACCTTAGATCGGCCTGCGTATGAGGCAGGGCTTAATAAGATTTCTTAGGAGGAATCTTCCACTAAGTGTCGTAGCACACATGAGCTTAGATCGGCCTGCATATGAGGCAGGGCTTAATGAGGTTCTGACAGGTTGTCGAGCAAAAATGTTCAAAAGAAATAGAAAGTCCCTTTTTATTGATATGATTGACGTTACAAGGGAATTTTTTCCATTCACTGGTAGTACTGCTTAAGGTGTTCAGCATTCCGAGGGTGGGGTAAGGATCTGCCCTCCAAGTCTTCCAGTTCATAAGCCCCTTTTAGTAGGACTTTCATTATCAGATAGGGACCTTCCCAATTCGGATCTAGGCATCCATTGCTGATCTCCCTTGTGGGGAGGAAAAGTTTCGTAAGACGAGGGATCCTACCTCAAATTCTCTTTTTCGCACTTTTTGATTAGAGTACTTGGCGTTTCGCTGTTTGTAAACGGCATTTCTGAGTTCGGCGTTGTTCCTTTTTTCTTCGGTTAGGTCAAGCTCCGTGCGAAGAGCCATGTGGTTCATTTCTTCGTTGTAATCAGTTATGCGTAGCGAAGGAATGTGGATTTCCAGTGGGATCACGGCCTTATGCCGAAAGCCATTGAAAATGGGGTTTCTCCAGTGCTTGTTCTTGCGGTAGTTCGATAAGACCATAACACACTGGGGAGTTCCTCAGCCCATCCTCCTTTTAACAAGTCAAGTTTTGCTTTCAATGTGTGCTTAATAATCTTGTTAATGGCTTCGACTTGGCCGTTTGCCTGTGGATGGTTTGGTGATGAGAAATGTTTATTGATGTCGAGCTCTTTGCAGAAATTCGAAAGTCGTGCGTTGTCGAACTGTTTTCCATTATCCGTAACAATGGAGTGAGGTATGCCGAACCTGCAAATCACTGATTTCCACAAAAAATGGGTTGTTTTCTGTTCGGTGATGGTGGCAAAGGGCTCTACCTCGGCCCATTTAGTGAAATAGTCCACTGCGATGATGGCAAATTTTACACCTCCTTTCCCAACGGGCATGGGTCCAATCAGGTCAACTCCCCATTTTGAAAAGGGCCAAGGTACTGTCACTGGGTTTAGTTCGCGTGGTGGAGTGTTTATGATGGGGGCGAGGCGCTGGCACTTATCACATCTTTTGACAAATTCAAGGGAATCTTGTCTTATTGCAGGCCAAAAGTATCCTTGTCGTACGATCTTGTGGGCCAGTGAGAGTCCGCCGGAATGATTACCACATATTCCTTCGTGAACGTCTTGCAGAGCGTACTGGGCTTCCTCTTCATTCAAGCATCTTAACAAGGCCATGGAATATCCCCGTTTGTATAGTATATTATCAATAAGAGTGTACCTGGCCAACCTTGTTCGGAGCTTTCTAGCCTCTGCAGGATTTTCGGGGTATTTTCCAGTTTTTAGGTAAGAGATGATCTCTTCCTGCCAAGTTGGTTTGGGGTCTATCATCATCAGGACCACTTTATCCAGCTCAATAGACGGTAGGGATATCCTTCCTACGGGAATGCTATCGAATTCCTCGATTCCCTCACTGGTGGCTAGGCGAGCCAATGCATCGGCATGATTATTTTGAGATCGGGGAATTTGTTTGACTTGGGTGGTTTTGAACCTTTCGAGTTCTTTTTTCACAACATGTAGATAGTTGTCCATCCTGTCTTTTTTGGCCATATATACACCGTTGGCCTGATTTACGACTAGCTGGGAGTCGCTGTGCAGGATTAGGTCGGAGATCCCTAATCCCGAGGCCATCCTTGCTCCAGCAATAAGAGCTTCGTACTCAGCCTCATTATTTGAGGCTTTGAAGTCGAATGGCAAGGCTTCACAGAACATGCGGTGATCAGGGCTGATTAATACGACGTCGGCTCCAGATCGTTCTTTGGTGGATGAACCGTCGATATAAAGTTTCCAAGGGGTTTCTTTCTGTTATTCTTCAATTGGGACGTTGCAGAACTCAGAGACAAAGTCGGCGAGTGCCTAGCCCTTTATGGAGGAACGAGGCGTATATTTGATGTCGAATTGTCCGAGCTCTACTACCCATTTTACCATCCGTCCAAAGGTGTCAAATTTTTGTAGCGTTTGTCTCAATGGAGAGTTGGTCAGGACCTCAATGGGGTGTTCCAAGAAATACGACCTCAATTTTCGCGCTGCCATCAGCAGGGTGAATGTCAGTTTTTCTACAGCTGAATATCTGAGCTCGGCTTCATGAAGCGCTTTGCTTACGTAATAAACCGGATGCTGAATGCCATTTTCTTCTTAGGTCAGAACGACGCTAATGGTGTGCTTTGAAATAGATAAATAGATCTTCAAGGCCTCACCTGCCTTAGGTTTTGAAAGCACCGGAGGTCTGGCTAATTGTCTTTTTAGCTCGTTAAAGGCATCCTGGCATTCTTTGGTCCATTCGAACTTCTTTCCACCTCGTAACGTGTCGAAGAAGGGTTTGCATTGGTCCGTATATTTGGAGACGAACCGACTGAGGGCCGCAACCCTTCCAGTTAAACTTTGTACTTCTTTGGGTTTAGTTGGGGGTTTCATTTGGATGATAGCTTGTATTTTTTCAGGGTTTACCTCGATTCCTCGGTTGTTTACGATGTAACCTAGGAATCTTCCTGAACTGACCTCGAAAGCACATTTTCTCAGGTTCAACTTCATTCTATACTTCCTTAGTATATCAAACATTTCGGTTAGATGTTGACAGTGGTCCTTGGCCTTTATGCTTTTGACCAGCATGTCGTCAACATATTCTTCCGTTGTTTTTCAGATCTGCTGGGAAAACATGGAATTCACGAGTTGCTAGTAGGCGGCGCCAGTGTTTTTGAGACCGAATGACATTACTCTGTAGCATTAAAGACCTCGATCAGTTATGAAAGAGGTATGCTCCTGATCTGGGCTGTACATCAGTATCTGGTTGTATCCGGAATACGCGTCCATGAAGCTGAGTAGCTCATGCCCGGCTGTGGCGTCCACCATTTGATCTATTCTTGGTAATGGAAAGCTGTCTTTGGGGCATGCTTTGTTGAGATCGGTGAAATCTATGCATACCCTCTAATCTCCGTTGTGTTTTTTCACAAGGACTGGATTCGTGACCCACTTCGGGTCTTTCGCTTCACGGAGGAAACCGTTGTTCAACAGTTTTTGCACCTCTTTGTTTAGTGCTTCATATCTTTTAGGATTCAGAGGTCGTTGTTTTTGCTGCTTTAGCCGAGCTAAGGGATCCACCTGTAATTTGTAGCATGCAATATTAGGATCTATTCCTCTCATGTCACTGTGATCCCAAGCGAAGACATCAAGGTTCTCTTTAAGAAAAGCCACAAGCTCGCTTCGGGTAGAGGGCTACAATTCACACCCAACTTTGAGTTCCTTTGTTTGGTCCTTGGCACACACTCGAACTTCTTCTACGGGTTCTCTGCCTTCGATCCTGGTCCGTGGGTCTAAGAGAATGAGTTTGGATTCCCATATGTTCGCCATGTGTACCCTCGGGAAGCTGTGTTGATGGCTGGTAAAGGTATTCCATTGGCAACTTTCAGCTAGCTCCCTGTTTCCTTTGACTTCCCCCACACCATGGGGTGTGGGGGAACTTGATAGAATAGTGATATAGGAAAACTGCTACTCTCAGGTTGAAGAGTAGGGGTTGTCCCATCACAGCATCATAAGGAGAGGGGGTGCAAACACCACGAACTCGGAGTTCGTCTTCAACTACCGAGGTGCTGATCCAGACTCGACTTTGAGTTAGATTGATCCTTTGGCAGAAGTTAAGGCTCCGCTTAATCCTAAGACCATATTTGGGTATGGTTGAAGAAAGTTAGCAGGGATACCCATCCATTTTAGGGTGTGGCTGAATAGGATGTTCAGAGAGCTTCTTGTATCCACCAAGACTTTAGAGATGGTTACCCCGGCTATAGGCAACGAGATTACCATAACTCTGTGGTAAGGGTGTGTGTCCACCTCCTTCTCGTCAAAAGATAGTTGCTCGTCTGTGGCTTTTTTGAGATCTTTTTCCATTATGCCTATCTTTGAGAGCTCTGCAACGATTAGTCTCTTTGGTCTGGCTTCCTCGACTTGTGTGTTCATCCTACTCCTTAGCATGTTGATTTGTGGCCTTGGCAGGTCGACGTTATAGGCCCTTGCAGTAGCTTGATCCCCTCGGATAATTCCAGTCTTGTA